CATCTATCCATCCATCCATTTATCCATCCATCCATCCTTCCATCCACTCATCCATCCATCCATCCATCCATCCATCCATCCATTTATCCATCCATCCATCCATTTATTCACCCATCCATTCATCCATCTATCCATCCATACATCCATACATCCATGCATCCATCCACCCACCCATCCATCCATCCATCCATGCATCCATCCATTATCTCCCTCTTGTTCTGAAGTTGGGTTGTGGGGGCAGCAGCTTGAGCAGGCCCAGACATCTCTTTCTGCAACAAACTCTTCCAGTTCTTCCAGTAGGTTTCTAAAGCGTTCCCAGGCCCAACAAGTTATGTAGCAGCATGTCCTGGGTCTTGCTCGAGGCCACCCTTCAGAGAAAACTCCTTTCAACCACCTGTATGTGCAGTCTTGTTCCACTACCCAAAGTTCATGACCAAAGGTGAGGGTAGGAACGTAGACCGACCGGTGAACACAGAGCTCCAAAATGTCCTTCAAAGCTGAAGTTTGTGCTCCCATTTGGAGAGTAGTGAGGACTTCATGCTGTGTTTAGGTTCGTGATGAGTGAATGATCTGTTAGCGGTGGTCATGTATGTTGTGTTCCTCCCATAACCAACACCGTCCAACAGTTTTGTCTTCGGTCAGTTTGCTGACCCTTTTTGGTTTCATATGTTAGATGAAACAAAAATTCTCCAAGCGTTTCTCACGGCCTACGTCTGCTCGTGTAAAACCAAATTGTTTTTTTTCCTGCTGATGGTCCATACTAGTTGGCATTAAACAGTAATTATTGTTCTGCCAGCAGCTTGCGTTCTCAGACCAGCTTCTCTTAAAAGCAATTATCAGAACAGAAACAGCTAAGCGGTGGCCGTATTCCAGGCAATAATTACAGAAACGACTCAGTGCCAACATATGCAGAACAGGATGCATTAAAAAACAAAAAAAAAGTGAAAACCAAGAGTTTAGAGTTGGTTCAGATGCTATGCTGAGAGGCAGAGGGTTTGAATGTTCCTCTTTATGTAATTATACTTGAATATGGCTTAACTTTTCCACTACCTGCTGCCTTCACTTTCACCTTTACAAGATTAATCTCTAATATTCTTGATTTTAAAATTGATAATGGCTGTAACTTTATTTTTACGCATGTGACCATGACATTGGGCAGCTGTAATGTTGTGTATGGTTTGGGTTTTTTTGTTTTTTGGAGGTTGAGGGGTCACGTTTCTACCCTACGGAGCACTTCAGACGTATAACTGTTAACGGTTCAGTCGTACTGCTGTGTGTTTTGGGTCTCTGTGTTTAGGCTTCCTTGGTTTTCTGAAACCATATAATTTTCCTTTGCGCTGTTTCTGGAGCCGCAGATGTGGGGGGGTAGCGGGATACCCAGATCACTGGGATTTGGACAAGTTTTTGAAGACACCTGTTCCTGCATGTTGGAATCGGGTCAGATTTTGTGGGTATTAACGTGCCAAATATGGCTGCAGGGCTAAGATTATGGGAAAAGTCCTCTCTCTTATGGGAATGCTGAGGCACAGTATCAGAAAGGAAACGGCTATAATGGATATTTTTTTTGTGTGCTGACACTTTTTTTAGAGGGAATCTGTGGCTGTTTATTTTGAAATATGGGGATTAACTGGAGAAAAAGACTCAATCTAAATCTCAGGGAAACGTTTATGTGCTAATAGTTTTGCTTAATAGATTATGGCCTCGTTTTATTACGATTTTCAGGCCTTTAGTTGTTTGAATGAGAAGCTGTGTCTGTGTTGTGCCATTATTTGGGTTATTTTCTTTGAAGATTATGTTGTGGAATCACACAGCACCTCTAAAGCATGTGATTCACCGTAGGAATTTGAAGTAATATAAGGGATTTGGTGGATAAGCTTCTGCGCCACACTTGTGACCCTCCATCACCACTCATGTTTTCTCAAAAGAAAAAACAAAAAGAACCGTAAGCTCACCAATGGACAAACGAAACACAGAATGTGACTTCAGGCCAAAAGGTTAAGTTTCCCCAGTATCACCTTTCATCTGCTTGTTGGGCAGGCACAAGTTGCTTATTTGAAACAGGAGTCTGGGAGCCTTTCATGCGCCCGTCCACTTTCCTTCAGTGTGTAGACATAATCATGTGGGGGGGGGGGGGGGGGGGTGAGGAGAAGCTCAGTCAAACCTGAGGCTGCTGTCTGCGTAGGGGGTTGAGTGATCAGATGGAGCGATAGGACGAGTAAATACCCTGCGTCTCTAACAACAAGTCA